ACCTCATTTTAATGCCATTTTACTTTGTTGAAATACAAATTTTTATTTAATTGAAATATAAACAAAAAGCAACATAAAAACGTTAAAAATCCATTAAAATTGCAAAATTATTCATAAAATGACCCAAAAAACAAAACAGGAAAAACAAAAATAGAACAAGTAATAATTATGAAAATATAAAATACTGAATAATAGTCCCAGAAGGAAAATAAAAATGGATGAACAATTAACCACAATAAATAATTCATAGGACAAAAGGACTCACTAAAAACTGAAATAGGAAATACAAATGTAAAACAAAATATGGAGGTAAAGGGAAAAATATCAAACAATTTATATAAAAAAATTGTATAAAACTTGGGTAATAAGATTAAAATTATACTTTATCTTAAAAAAAAAAGAAAAATCAATGTAAAAAACTTTTTTTAATTCCTTACAAGGAGAAAGTCACGCTTCAAGAAATATTTTTCAAACTAATTTTAAAGTTCAAATGAACAAGTAGTAACAGATAGTAAGTAAAACAAAAAGGAGCAAAATTATAAAAAAAAACAAAAACAATATTAACAATAAACTCTTGGAAGCATATTTCTGTGTCAGTGTGACACATCAGTGGCTGTGACATGTTGTGCCTGCAAGTCATCAATCACTGGAACAAGAACAAACTGTGGAAAGAGAGTAGAGTTAACACTAAGGGTCTCATCAACCTATTTCTGCCTGAAAATAATAGCGAAATATTATTCAATGACATCAGAACTGCCGCACAGTGGTATAGGAAAAAAAAAGAGGGAAATAATTCGGTAATTTCTAAACGGTTAATCCGATTTTAATGAAATTTGGTATGCACAAAAAGGAGGTGTTGTCGAGTTTAGGTTTTGAATTTGGACCTTATAGGCCAACCAGGGGCCCGGCGGGGGGTCCTCAAATTAGGACACCTCGGCTATGTTAAATTTTTAAAACGATCTTATTTCTTCATTTGAGTTCCGATTTAAAAAAAATTTCGTATATAGAATCTTCTCATCGAGCACTATAAAAAATGTCGTCGTAGCAGTAAATTATCTCTTATAGTTTAGGAGATATTCGCATTTTAAAATTAAAATTTTAAAATTTTTACCGTTCTTACTTTAGTTTTTTGATAATAGCGGGTCCAAATATTCCCGATTTTCGCCATTTGTAAAAATCATGACTGAGTCCAAAATTATATTAATTTATAAAAAAAAAATAAATAAAGACTATTTTTATATAAAATAAATACTTGTTAATTTTTTTTAGGGATAAAGAATAAAAGATTAATCGTAAAAAGTGGCTGTAAAAATTCATAAAAATTTAGGTAGTAAAACATGCCTAACAAATGTATGGATGAAAATAATAGTGCTAGGTAAATTTTCTAAAAGATGTTGAGTTTTCCCTAATTAATTTGTCACTTAAAAAACATTAGGTAGGCATGTTATATATCAATGGAAAGGTAATTTTGTCTATTTTTCAAAACTGTATATAATTTTTGAAAATTAAAAAATTCGCGGAATACTTTTTTTAAAAAAATTAAAAAATGTTTTTTATTCAGTTTTTGCGAAGATACAAATTTTTCAAATTGCAATAAAAATTTTATTTATGAATATTTTTTGATGAAATTTTACAGTTAGGTAGATTTTTTTACTCAAAATCCAAAATTAAATAAAAATTTCGAATTTTCTTATTAGAAATCCCGGAATTCCCAAAAAAGTTTTAAAAAAATCCCAAAAATGGGATTTTTTTGGTTTTTTGCCTATTATATCCATACCAGGGGCGGGGTTATCGAAACCCGTTACAAAATGATTAAGAACATATTGGGTCATATAAAACAGGTCACTATAATTTGATATCGACTATGCGATTTGAGAATTTTTGTTCAAAATTGAATTTTCTATAAAAAAATAGGGTTTTTTGGATGGACCTGGTCCCCTCGGTATCAAAAATTTTTAGGTTTTGTTTCATTTATCGTATTTTATGTAAAGTCAGCTTTTCAAAAAGTATAAATTCTATATACATCTTCTTAGAAACTTTTTAGATAACTTAAAAAGAAAAAGATACTTTTTTCCCAAAAAAATGGCAAAAAATCGCCTTTTTTTAATTTTTTAAATTAAAATGCCTATAACTTTGGACTCAGTCATGATTTTTACATAATTCTTTCACTGCTTGATATATAAACTTGTTGTTAAGCGAATAAAAAAAGAAATGGCGAAAATCGGGAATATTTGGACCCGCTATTATCAAAAAACTAAAGTAAGAACGGTAAAAATTTTAAAATTTTAATTTTCAAATGCGAATATCTCCTAAACTATAAGAGATAATTTACTGCTATGACGACATTTTTTATAGTGCTCGATGAGGAGATTCTATATACGAAATTTTTTTTAAATCGGAACTCAAATGAAGAAATAGGATCGTTTTAAAAATTTAACATAGCCGAGGTGTCCTAATTTGAGGACCCCCCGCCGGGCCCCTGGTTGGCCTATAAGGTCCAAATTCAAAACCTAAACTCGACAACACCTCCTCTTTGTGCATACCAAATTTCATTAAAATCGGATTAACCGTTTAGAAGTTACCGAATTATTTCCCTCTTTTTTTTTTCCTATACCACTGTGTGCCGCTTCCTGCATGTTTTAAAAAAGCAAAATCAGGGGTGGAAAATTGAAGTTTGAAAATATTTTTTTTTACGATTTATATACGAGTTTATAGACTAAACTCATGACTAAAGTCTAGTCCATTGTTTAGTTAATATGTTACTAAAGACATTAGTCCATAGCTTAGTCAATAGACTAATCCATATACTAGTGAATATACTAATCCATAGATCAGTCAATAGGCTAGTCCACAGACTAGTCAATAGACAAATTAAAAGGCTATTCTGTTGACTAGTAAACAAATTAGTTAATAGTCTAGTTAATGAACTACTCAATAGTCTAGTCCATACTTTAGTCAATGTACAAATCCATTCACTAGTGAATAGGAAAATCAAGAGACTTGTTCATAGACTAGTCAATAGACCAGTCCATAGATAGATTAGTCAATAGACTAGTTCATAGACTAGTCAATAGACTAATCAATTGACTAATCAATAGACTAGTCCATAGATTAGTCAATATACCAACCAATACACTAGTCAATAGACTAGTCTACAGACAAGTCAATAGACTATTTAGTCAATAGATTAGCCCAACAACTAGTCAATAGATTAGTCAATGTACCAGCCCATGACTAATGCATAGACTAATCCATAGACTAGTACATAGACCATTACATAGACTAATCCATAGACTAGTACATGGACCATTACATAGACTAGTCTAATCTATGGTAGTCTAGACAAAGTCTAGACTACAAAGTGTAGTCCATATAATAGTCAATAAACTGGTTCATATATCAGGCAATTGTATAATCCATTGACAATTGCAGTGACTAGTGATTTTACTTGTCAATAGATAAGTCAATAGTCTAGTCAATATAGTAGTTAATAATCTAGTCCATATACTAGTTACTAGTCTAGTCCATTGACTAGTCGAAACACTCGCCAGTTAACCAGTCCACCAAATAGTCAATAGATTAGTGAATAGACTAGTCAATAGGACAATAGACAAATCCATAAACAATTTAATGGACTAATGAGTGGAGTAGTCAATAGTCCAGTTGATAGATGACTCTATAGTCTAGTCAATAGACCAGTTAATAGTATAACAATAGTCCATAGACGGACTAGTTTATAGACTTGTCAACAGACCAATCCATAGACTATTCAATAGAATAATATATACAATATTCCATTGACAAGTGAATAAACTAGTCAATAGTTAAATTAGTTAATAATATCATAGAGTTGCCAATAGTCTGAACCATTGACCAGTCAATATTCTACTCCATAGAATAATCAATGGAGTAGGTCATGGAATAGTATAAATAGTAGAATAGTAAATAGACTAGTTAACAACCAGAATAGTCAATAAACAAGTCTAAAGACTAGTCAATAGACTAGCCCATAGATTAGTATGTCCGTAGACTAGTTTTTAGTATAGTCAATTGTACAGTCAAGAGATTAGTTCAACTAGTCAAAAGACAAAACTTGTTTAACAAAGAAAAAGTACTTCCCTTATCATGGGGATACTATGTGGCATGTCAAAAATTAGCAACATTACTAAATTTTCCAACCCAGAACAGAAGAATACTATATTTTGTAACAAAATGTTGACAAGTATGAAAATTTGAAACAGGAAAAGAAAGAGAGAGAGAGATTGAGAGAAGGCGTTAGATTGAGTGTAAAAAATGTAAAATAATGATTATTATGAAGAAGCACTTGAATGTTGTGACATTGACATAACACACGTTATATATCAAACACCCAACAAAAATGTTGAATAATAATAGATATTATTAACTACTGTGAGGATGTCCCATATCAGCAACAGACGAACACCCCAGCAATGACTTAAATAGGCAAACTATTAAGGTTTTTTTGCAGTGTTTAGAAGAGTTAAAGAATATCTTATTAACATTAATAAATCACTGAAATTGTGGTCATTAATGTCTACAATAAAAATTCTGCAGACCTTTTGAGTCTGACATAATTTCTAAACAAAACCCAACCACAACCCTTAACACGTTTACACACCCACACATTCATGTTTGTTTTTTTAACAAAACTGTAAAAAATTTCCTAACAAAGTTTCCGCTTCTTAGTTTTCTTTTTTCTATGTTTACTCTTTCTTTTCGTTTACTGCTATTTATCATAAAGTAGTTAAATGTAAAGACAAATTTCTGTTCTACTCAATTCCTTTTGTGAAATTTTCATAAAATAAATTTTAATTTTTGATTGTTAACAAACAAACAACATACTCTCTTCAAAAAAAAGGGGTTTTACAATTTGACTTTCTTTCAATCATTCTTATACATTTTGATGTCTTTGCTGCTGCTGATTGTGATGGATTAGCTTTTTCCATTTTGTTGTTAAATATTTAATTTTTTAATAAAATATACAAAATTTTATGTAGTTTACTTACTTGCTAAAACCCCTGTACACTGTGGCATATGAACCCTCTCCTAAAGGTTCCAATTTAACGTAGGCATCCTGTTTACCGAACGGTGAATCACCCTGCAAAGAGAAATGAAATATAATTTGTTTTATAATATTGATGTAATGTTATACATATATAGAGCTACACAAAATCTTATTGACTTTGAATGACTTCCGGACTGATAGAACAGCTATCATACAGGAGGCACCTTGGTACACTTTCTTCAAAACTATGATTTTCATATAAGTATTTGGATTAAAAACTTTTTATGGATTCTAATTCTATTATGGATTCTAACATTATTAGAAAATAATCCTGTCGGTCTCTATCTTCGTATGTCCTTCGTGCAGGACCAGTCAATTGCGGAAAAAAATGTATTTTAGCGGTTAGCGTGAAATTTGTAGATTTCTGGGGGTTTTTCCAAGTCAAATTATCTGTAATTTACATTGAATATTTTACATATAGTCCATAGTCTAGAATCCAGTCTATTGTCTAGTTTATAGTCCAGTCTGTAGTCTAGTAATAGTCTAGTTTATAGTCCAGTCTATAATTTAGTCTATAGTATAGTCCATAGTCAAGTCTGTAGTGTAGTCTAATCTATAGTCTGATCTAAGTTAAAGGCTAGTCTATAGTCTGATCTATAGCGATTGATTTAATTTGACGTTTTCGAGAGGCTTTTGCAAAAACATAAATCTGACGGTTTCTAGCGGCTTTTATGACATGGTGAAAAAAATATTGAAAACACTGTGCAGGACCCTATCTCATTTTTTGCTTGTTGTTGAACGACGGACGTTAGCTTTTCTGGTGATATTATTCAATACAAAATATTTCTGATCATTAAAGATTATTTTGAGAAAAATTGATCCACCCATAATGGTGTATCATAAAGTGCCCACAGACTGTAGCTAAAACAAATATGCCTAAATCGCATAAACATTTTGAATAGCCCTCCTCGGTCGCATGATTTCCAAATTCTTATCCTATTAAAAAAGATACATTCTCTTATGGAATAAATTAAAATTATTAATTAAATAAACAAACAAACTTTGAAAAAGGTTGTTTTATTTACATTAAAATGAAATTGATTTTGAAATCGGAACACTCAATGCTCAAGATCAAGGATCCGAACAAAGGGTCCCATCAGGAAAAAGTAAAAAGAGATAAAATTTTTGTTTCAAACTGAAGATGCACAGTACAACTTCAATACTTTATACAAAAATCAAAATAAACACAATGGGAATTGCAATAATAAAATTGCTAAAAATAGTCACGAACAAAATAAAAGCGAACATTATATTTACTGTTTAGCAAAGGAAAGAAGTGGTTGGTAATACAAAAACAACAACAGCAATATATGTACCGTATATAAAGCAGGGATGGTAAATACAGTACCAATGTAAATTTAGTCATTGAAAAGTAACAAAGTATCCACTTTGTGAAATTTCAATTTAAATATTTTTGAAGTTTAAATACATATTAAAAAAGGTTCTTATAAATCATTTGTCAAATAGTCAAAGTCTTAATGGATTTAAAAAAAAAAAAACAATAACTGGACTCACATTATTTGATGAATTTGAAAAGATTTTTAAGAAATTTAAGTCAATTGCCTAAGATGCTTCGAATTCTTTCTTTTAGAAATGAGATTTAAAAATCAATCAACTTTGATATTTTTCTCCATATTAACTCAAAAAGATCTGATGAAAATATAATCTAAATTTTTATCTTTACACCGAGTATGTCAGAAACCCATATTACTAAATTCTTTTTATTCTATTTGATTTTTTTTTTCAACAAAAAAAGACCGAAAAACTATTTGGTACCTTTAATTAAATTTGTTAAATCTCAACTTTCCAGGTCTGGCATATATGAGTGTTAGTATATGTGTCAGTGGTTCCGTAGCAGGTTTTAAAGTGGACGAAATTAACAAAAAAATATTCAAAAGTTTTGTATTTTCATGGACCGCTGTCAATATTAACTTACTCTTAGACGTATAACCAAAATCAAAAGATGGACCGAACTCTTAAGAATTCGAGATATTCATTATTTTATACCATTTTTATAATACTAAATTTTGTCAAAATTCTTTTAATACTATGATTTTTAAGTGATCTATTCGCAATAAAGTAATGGGGATGGGATCAATTATGGACCAATCCTTCACCTTCTTGAGAATGGTATATGTTTATCATTCCGTTTGTAATTTTCCGACCCTATATAGTATATAGATTTTGAATCCTTATATATAGCGTAGTCGATTAAGCCATGTCCGTCTACCTGTTTACCTGTTGAAATTAATTTTCTGGCGTCCACATATATCTTCGGAACCCAAATCTTCAATAATTCTGTCGGACATGCTTTCGAGAAGTTTCCTATTAAAATCCGCAAAATCCATAAATAACGGATACAACTTTTTATAAATTGAAATTTTATAAAATTAATCTTTTGTTAAACACACTATATAAGATTCGGCAAAGGTGATTATAGACTTCTTACTTGTTCTTTCCTTATAGGGAACTTAAGGCCAAATGTGAACCGATTTTTCTTATTTCTCAATACCAAGCAAATTTCAACAGATAGTCAGCTGGACGTACATGTCTAAATCGTCTTGGAATCTAATATGGATACATTTATTCTTTTTCAATCACTGACAATTTCGATATGATACAAACGGAATGACAGAATCAATATAAACTCCATATTTTTTTCATTTCTTTCAATACAATTATGATTTACATGATTTTATATATCAACCAAATAGATGAGTCGTGACTATTGATAGGGCCCGGAAGAGGTGGAAGCAATTTCTTAAAAAATACTTTATGCAGATGTGAGGTGTCTAATATTAGGTCAACTAGAAAAGTAAATATCTGTTCGCCGTCTAATATCAAGCATAAAATTTCGATGGGGTCTATACGATTAAGTGAAATTCTCATAGGATCAGTGTTGCCAATTTGACGTTCTACCCGTCAAATCTGACTTTTTTGATAAGTCAATTGCGGAAAAGATGTATTTTTAGCAGTTGGCGTGAAATTTGGTGATTTTTAACTAGCGTTTGGAGATTTGTGGGGCTTTTTCCCAAGTCAAATTATTTGTAATTACATTGAATATTTTACATATAGTCCATGGCCCATAGTCTAGTCTATAATCCAGTCAATTGTCTAGTTTATAGTCTAGTTCACAGTCTACTTTAGTATATAGTCCAGTCTAGTCCATGGACTAGTTTATAATCGAGTCTAATTTATAATATATTCTATGGTCCAGTCTAGTCTATATTCTAGTCTAGTCTAGCCTATGTTCTAGTCTGTAGTCTAGACTATATATAGTCTAGTATTGTCTAAAATCTAGTCTAGGTTAAAGTCTAGCCTATAGTCTATAATCCAATCTATTGTCTAGTTTATAGTCTAGTTCATAGTCTACTTTACTATATAGTCTAATCTGTAGTCTAGTCTATAGACTAGTTTATAGTCTATTCTATGGTCCAGTCTAGTCTATATTCTAGTCTAGCCTATAGTCTAGGCTAAAGTCTAGTCTAGGTTAATGTCTAGCCTATAGTCTGATCTATAGCGATTGATTTTTATAATGTCTGACAAGATTACGAATCCGATTTGGAATCTGATCTATCACATTGCAGAACCGTTTGGGAATCGCTGCCATAAGTATTACAAATTAAATCAAACTCCCTCAAATATGCAAAGAAATGTTAAAAGCGTTATTTCAAGAAAATAAACTTTGATAAGAAAAGTATAATTTAAGGCTAAAATTTTTAGATAAATTTTAAGAAAAAAGTTTGTTTTAAAACATTAAAGTTTAAAGATCATTTGACCCCTTTAATTCTTAATTAATTTAATAATATTAAACAAAAAATTAATGAATACTTACACCAAATGCACTGAAACGTTTACGACGCGGATGAGGATCTTGTTTATTGAGAAAGACTTCGGATTTAGGTCTGGGTGGTTTTTTGGGACGCATTATAACACGTGTCTCCTCTCTAATATCATCATCTAATAACTTACTATCGGACGAAACGGACAATTGTCTTTGGACACGATCATGATGATCGGTGCTATCTGTGCTACGCCAGTCTGAAAAATAAGAAATTAAATTATATAGATATTGCAAACAATTATTTAAATATCTTAAATAATAAAAAATTATAAACAAAACTTATTTTAAAACCATTAGTTTTCAACAACCCTAAAAATTTGCTGTTCAATTTGTTTTCCTTAAAAGACCGAATAAAGTTTAACCTTTTCACACAAAAATTTCCTAATTTATAGAGTTGCTCAACTCGAAAAAAAAACTTTTATTTTCTTTATGCTTAGTTTAAGTTTTGTTTTTTTGTTTTTATTGGATTGATGTTTAAAGTTTTTCTACAACAACTAGAGTAGTAAATAGTTCAAGGATAATTTATTTTAAGTTGTCAGCTCCTTGAAAACAAACCATTTGAGTGACACAAACATTTCCTTACAAAACGAAGAAAGCAAAAAAATAAAACAAAACAAAAAGAAAAGCACAACAAACTTCATGTTTTGTGTTTAAAGATCCTGTTCTTTTTTGAAAGATAAAAGCTAAGCAAAGAAAGTGTCAACAAAAGAAAAACTACTTCCGTTTTTATCGCAGCGCTTTGTGCTTTGAAAATGAAACTAAAAGCTAAAGGCTTTTCTTAGTAAAAGCTTAAAATAAAAACATTTAAAACACTTAAGGAGAGTTAACACATTTTCAAGAGGCGAAAAGCAACACGCCAAATATTAAAAAAAATCACGTTTGTTTTAAATTTTATTTAATAAAATTTCCTTTTGTTAAATAAAATTATTCAGGCAAATTTCGCACTTTTTTATGAAACACGAAAAATATACTATAATCCATGTTACTTAAACCGCCTAAGGTTATAAAAAATATCAAAAAATTTTTAAAAACTGAAAATAAATCTCTATTGTTTCCAACCCTCGAACGTGAAATTTCCATTAACGCAACAAACAAAAAAATGATGGTTTAAAATAAAAACATAACTACATACAACAATAAAACTCAGTTCATACTGGCCATGTAGTACACATTGAGAAAAAGTGGCTTAAAAATACACCTGGCCTTAGGGTAAAAAATTACCAACAACCACTTCACTATGCACCGCTACACCCTTCGAATATTGAATTTAGTTCTCATTCCCCCTATAAAAAAAATCTTTTTATTTTTCGACTTTCCCCATCCAATTTGTGGCGTTCAACAGTTCACTTAATGATTCACAGTTCATAACTAATGCATCACTACTAGTCTATGTACTGCCACCAATGGTAGTGCCACTCTACCGCCTTCTTTATTTCCAGCCCCTATACAACTACAAATATTAACTTTATTTCTCTGCAAATGCGTGTGAATATAAAATGAACTTAATTTCATTTTATTATTTCCTACTTGTGTTTTTGTTCTGTTTTATTTCAATTTGTCCGCTGGCCAATATGAAAATAGGTATGATAATGCAAAAAAAAAAGGGGGCGGAAAGAAGGAGGAAAAAAGAGGGAGAGGGAGGAAAGGCAACACGGGCGGGGCGGAAAGGGCAGAAGGGGCAAGGAGGAGGGGGGCGGGGGGGAGAAGAAAAGGAAACAGGGGGCAAGAGGGGGGGAAAAGAGGAAAAAAGGGCAGCAGGAAGGAGAAAAAGGAAGGAGAACCGAAAGCGAGCGAGCGAGCGAGCGAGCGAGCTGAGCGAAGCGCGAGCGAGCGAGCGAGCGAGCGAGCGAGCGAGCGAGCGAGCGAGCGAGGCGAGCGAGCGAGCGATGGAGGACCGACCGACGGGACCGAGCGCGAGAGCGAGCGAGCTAGCGAGCGAGCGAGCGAGCGAGCGGAGCGAGCGATCGAGCAGCGAGCGAGAGAGCGAGCGAGCGAGCGAGCGAGCGAGCGAGCCGACCCGCGAGCGAGCGAGCGAGCGAGCGAGCGAGCGAGCGAGCGGAGCGAGCGAGCGAGGCGAGCGAGCGAGCGAGGTCGCGCGAGCCTAGCAGACGAGAGCCTAGCGAGCGAGCGAGCGGAGCGAGCGAGCGAGCGAGGAGCGACGCGAGCAGCGAGCGAGCGAGCGAAGCGAGGCGAGCGAGGCAGCGAGCGAAGCGAGAGCGAGGGAGCCGACAGACGAGTGAGCGAGCGAGCGACGAGCGAGCGAGCGAGCGAGGAGCGAGCGAGCGAGAGCGAGCGAGCGAGCGAGCGATGGAGCGAGCGAGCGAGCGAGCCGAGCAGCACGAGCTAGGCGCGAGCGAGCGAGAGGAGCGAGCGAGCGGCGAGCGAGGGAGCGAGCGCGAGAGCAGTAGCGAGCTAGCGGAGAAGCTGAGCTGAGCGAGCGAGCGCAGCGAGCGGAGAGCGAGCGAGCGAGCAGAGAGCGAGCGAGCGAGCGAGCGATGCAGCGAGGCGAGCGAAGCGAGTAGCTAGCGAGCGAGCGAGCGATCTAGCGAGCGAGCGAGCGAGCGAGGCGAGCGATCTATCTATCTATCTATCGTATCTATCTATCTATCTATCTATTACTATCTATCTATCTATCTATCTTCAAATTAAATTAATTTCATGCAATTTTTATACATAAATAAATTATTTATTTAATACAATTTTTTAGGTTATATATCAATTCAAAGGAAAATGGCAGAATATGAATATAGGGAATCATTATAATGCACCACCAGAATAAGTCAGCAGCACTTTTTTAACAATTCTTCATTGTATTCAACAATACAATCGAAAATGGAAGTGAAACACAGGGGAAAAAATAATAAAAATAAAAAAAGAAATGCTCAATTTAATTTTCACGTAATTAAAAGTTTCAGGACAAAAAAGTATAAATGTATATAAAAAATGAAAATTCTTTAACACATTTTGGAACACTGACATACTTTCAGACGTCACCACGATACAATGGTATGGTATGCATTCACATACATATAGCGAAATAATTATAGGTACAAACTAATTTTAATTTCTTATTTCTCAAGATTCATAAAAGAGCACAAATTTCGAAATGTGGCTCCCTTGTTTCTTCAAAAAATATATTTCTCACTCTATAATTATTACAACTGGTATACGTAGAAATATTTGCAACCAGGAGCGGATGCAGAAGACATTATGTAATATGGCCTGACTCCTTTGCTGTACTCATACATATTTTATTAAAAAGTTCATAATTTAAAGAACTCTTAAAGTGGTTTCATTTTTAAATTATCAGGAATTGCAAATTTTATTTTAACCAACATATAGTACATTTTTGGGTTCTTTAAAAGTTCATCATTTAAAACTAGTATAAATAGGATATAATAGCCATAAGGGATAACCAAATTCTTTGAAATATCTAACAATTCATTTAATTTGAATTTAATAGATTTCAAGAGATGAGATATGTTTTATTACAGGAGGATAAATGAGTTTGAATACAAAATCGTTGCTTCTCTGAAATGTTGCAGTCCGTAATGAGTCCTTAAAAGAATATCTTTTTAGATAATATGATTTTTACATCACCCTGAAACACCTTAGTACCGAAAACTTTAGATAGAAATTTGCTTTAAGTAAATTTTGTTCTCTTAATTTCCTAACACTCTATGCCAAAAAATTCCACACAAAACAAACAAAATTTGTTCCCCATTCATATTCGGAAGCAAAGGTAAATGTCTTCGGGTTACTGGGTGACCTAGTAATATAAAAACTCATATATTTTAGCATAAAAATAAAACGAAACCGTTGAGTAAGTAGTAAGTACATGATATTGGCATATTGTATGGCAAAAAGTGGGTGATGAACATCAACTACTACTTTACTATTCATATACATAGAGAAGTTTCACTCGTATATGAGTATAATTCAGGGACCATAATATAAATTTTAATACTAAAACAAACAAATTATACTCTCGCAAAAAAAAATCAGTTTGTAATATATGGACTTAGTAGTGGTGTACTCGTATGGATGACTAGTTCGTTATGTATAGTTAGTTTTTTTTTTTTTTTTTTTTTGTAATGAAAAAAATATACTATGTGGGTTATGAAAGATGACTCTATAGAAAAAGTTCATTTTCATTTTTGTATCTTTATAAGAGTATATGTTTTTACAGGTCAATTTTATTTTAATTTTTTATATAGTTTTCCCATAGTAAACCAGAAAAAAGTTGTGGTTTATTTTTACTTTATAATTTTGTAGAAAAAGTTGTATAATAATAATTGTATGTTTTTTAAACTAAATATCCTGGGACAAATAAGGCAGAGCAGTAAAAGGATTAATTGAAGGAATTATACAGATAGATAGGTAGGTAGATAGATAGATAGATAGATAGATAGATAGATAGATAGATAGATAGATAGATAGATAGATAGATAGATAGATAGATAGATAGATAGATAGATAGATAGATAGATAGATAGATAGATAGATAGATAGATAGATAGATAGATAGATAGATAGATAGATAGATAGACAGATAGGTAGATAGATAGATAGATAGATAGATAGATAGATAGATAGATAGATAGATAGATAGATAGATAGATAGATAGATAGATAGATAGATAGATAGATAGATAGATAGATAGATAGATAGATAGATAGATAGATAGATAGATAGATAGATAGATAGATAGATAGATAGATAGATAGATAGATAGATAGATAGATAGATAGATAGATAGATAGATAGATAGATAGATAGATAGATAGATAGATAGATAGATATAGATAGATAGATGATAGATAGATGATAGATAGATAGATAGATAGATAGATAGATAGATAGATAGATAGATAGATAGATTAGATAGATAGATAGATAGATAGATAGATAGATAGATAGATAGATAGATAGATATATTCTCCAACAATTTTACTCTTTCTAAATTCTTGAGATTTATTTATAAAGGAAAAAAAGGAGAACTCATGACTTGCAAATATACTAGAATTAGAACTCGTTATCTGTATGGAGGTTATATTCCTTATTCACAACTTTACGCCCCCTCTTAAACTAGATAAGGCGCTTTTTTTTGAATTTTAGAAAACTTTTCATTTTGTATTTTTTTTAGTTCGCAAACTTGTACACATGTGGATGTTTCTGTATACATACATATACAAT